TAATTTATATATATATATATATATATATATATATATATATATATATATATATATATATATAGACGAGTAAATTATAGTCAATTGAACCCCAAAGAATTAACCTATACAGATGACCATTTCATCCATGGGGAAAAAAGATTTCTCTGGACTTGAAAATGCAAGTATATATTTTCATTGACAAGTCCAGGGAAATGTTGTTTTTTTTTCCCCTATGGACGAAATGGCCATCTATTTGGGGTAATTTGTTTGGGCTTCATTAAGGTAATTCACTTATATACTCTATAATAAAAATATATTGGGCTCTCGTTTGTAGATCAATTTTAATATTTTATATTGATATGATGTACTTGGATTATTTACCCAAGGTTTCTTTTATATATATATATATATATATATATATATATATATATATATATATATCATCTATATATTATATATATATATAAAAGTGAATATTGAATATATTAACATTGAACACGGACTTAATATCTTGACCGTGTTTTGAAAAATGAAAACATTTTATAAAACCTACATACAACAAATTATTTCGGCCGTTGTACGCTCCGGCCTTCTTCAGGTGGTTGGAATATCGAACTGAACCCTTTATTTCGCTGACTGGGGTAGACTGTTCTAGTTCAGCGTGCCATGTTTAATGGATGTCAGTTATCAGTTATCTCCACTGCCTTTGGGTCCTGTGACTGGATCTAACTAACTTTATCCACTGTGCATTGAGTCCTTGTAATAAGTATGGCGACAAAGATGAGGACAATAGTTCGAATAATGTAAATAAGGGTCTCTATATTTTTTTTTAAATTTTGATTTTGTAATGTAATTATAATAACAAAATCCCGATAAACACTTTGCTTTCTTTTTTGCCTTGAAAAATCTGAAGTAGAAACACTGATATTTTTTCCAGTTGACAACACTGATATAATAGCATCATCTACATGAAAAAGAAAGCAAAAATAAATGGAAGCCTTATTAATAAAAACAAAAAAAAACATTTAATAATATTAACTTTGAACGTGGACACAATATCTTGACCGTGTTTTGAAAAAGGAAAACATTTTATAAAACATAAATAGAACAAACTATTTCTTAGTTAACAGTTAAAATATCTAATCCTTGAAAATCGTTAAATGTATAGCCGAAAGCGCTTGGATAAAAAGAACATCGGACAGATTTTTATATAATTTATCATCCGAAAATAATATATATATATATATATATATATATATATATATAAGATCGCATGAGAAATTGTATAAAAAACTAAATAAAAGCACCTTGTCTGTCGTATTCACTGAAATGTGTATGAAGGAAATATTTCTGCCTAAATGCACAAATATATATATATATATATATATATATATATATATATATATATATATATATATATATATGGGCTATATAGTTTATGAGATGCGCTGTTTTTCTGATAATGACGGCCGCATTGGGATTCTTCATTTTTTTGCTTGCATACATTTCTTTGCTCACAGAAACACATGCGCATATCTATGTACATATATACATATACATACATACTAGTGCCGTTGAGGTGTGTAAAATTTCAAGTCAGCCGACTCCAAGTAGGTCCCTGTCTTTCTTTCAGCCAATTTGTAACCCGTCGTGTGCTATTAATGTTTTTGAGATAATCGGCGACATAACGTATGGACCCGGTTTAGATTCGCTGTTGAGAAATGCAAAAAATAGCGCAACCTCAATGCATTTTCTTCTTCATCGAAATCTGTCCACACTTGATCAAACTGGTGTTTTAAAAATCAAAACTACGCTCAAATGTATTACGGTGAACCACCACTGAGATTAGAGTGATGTTATGCATAGTATCTTTACGGGGTTCATATAATTAATTTTTATGAGGGTTCTGGAATTTCGGCAATGTACACTAATGGCCATTTTGTACAGCCTGTTTGTATACATCTCACTCTGTTTCTGTTTGCTGTTGCTGCTATCTCGTTTGATATTAACTATATTTCTTATTGTTTCAGACGTTGTATTAATGAATGTTGTGTTTAGGATGGACAGCTTTATTTAATGCTGGCTGTTCTGGAGTCGGTAGGTAGGATTATGCGTTTGATTTTGTAATGTATGTAGGAATTATAATACAAACAACTTATCCTCCGATTTGTTTTCCTTCTTTTAGCCGATCTAAAGACGTTACAGAGAATATAAGCTTTCTCTGGCGAAATATATATATATATATATATATATATATTTATATATATATATATATATATATATATATATATATATATATATATATATATATATATATATATATAGCCTAGTGAGCCAGACAAACCTACCTAGGCTTCACCTAAGCGGATCGTCAGGGAAAGCTTTTCCTGAGGATCCGCTTAGATGAAACCTAGGTAAGTTTGTCTGGCTCACTTGGTTTATCTAGATCTGCTCTACGGTTGTATTGAGCTCTTTTAGTTAGGTGTTTCCTCGTGTCTGTTTTTTTTTTTTTTTTGGTCTTAAACCTCTATCTGTGCTATTTTTTTCGACAGAGTTTCACGTTTCTAGCTCTTTTTTTAAAAAAAAAAATTTCCTTCGTGATTGATTTGATTATTGGCAAATCAAGAATTCGAAGCTTTTCGAAACACGTATAGTTACCTATATATATATATATATATATATATATATATATATATATATATATATATCATATGTGTTTGTGTGTGTATAAATTAAAAGGCCCAAACGGCGACTGTCTCCTTCATACATAAACACTTAGATCAAAAACGTGGAATGAAAACAAAATAAAGAAAAGACATCAAAGCTTTAACAGACAAAAAATGTCAATTGTCAGATATATTATTCTATTGACTTAGCAAATCACCCGTGAAGATGATCCCGGATGGAACTGAAAGTACCTAAGAAAATAAAAAGAAAAAGAAAAGAAAAGAACAAAACCACGGCGCCTTCCTTAACAAATTTAAACTCAACATTAAGAAGTCGATCAGAGAATACCCGAGGATTAATATATATATATATATATATATATATATATATATATAGGTACCTCCATGATATCGCTAGAAAATAACAATAGCATGACGAAAAAAAACGCTAGACTTAAAGAAAACAAAATTTTATTGTCTAAATTTTTAAGATTTAAGTGAACAAATTATTTACCTCTTTATTTTTAAGGAAAACTTTCAGCTCTCTTATTTTTTCTGTACTTAGATTTTACCTTTACGTTTACGATGCTTTATGGAAAAGATATAAAAAAAATTAAAATAAGACTGTTGAGAGAGAGCTAAAATTTCATAAGAAAGGTATCTAAATTAATTTATAGGTGTCTTATGAAATTTTATCAGAATTGTAAATAAAATAATATAATTTTATCTACATTTATTACATTTTACTGTTATTTGTATTTCCATTCATTTTATTATTAATTTTAATATTTCATTTATGGAAATCTGCCATAACTGTGATTAATATAAAAATAATGTCATATAAAGATGATACTAATACATGTAGGTACCCTTCTCAGCTGAAATTGAAAAATCAATTTTATTTCTCCACACGTATTTAACAGCGGAGAACAATGCTTAATTCAAATAACGCAACTTAATTGTATTCTTGCTGGTCTTCCGTACTTTTTAATTACAGCCATTTATAAATACAACTTTACATTACTTAATTAGTGAGGTTTTTCTGATAGGTTGAAGCGATACAATTTAAAATGCTGTAAAAATGATCTATCTCATAATGCCATTTACGAAACTGAATGCGGTTTTCAACTAATTTTATAATATTTTAACAACTTAAATGTAAAATTGTAAAAGAGTTAAAGAAATAACAAATAATTGTATTAAAAGGGTTCTTTGCTTTCAGTAAATATTGTCCATATTCTTAAAAACAACTAAAAACAAATATAAGCATTTGAATTTAAATGGTATCTTTTTCTTTAGTGAGGTTTGTATGTTACAATTAAGAGCTGATTTTCAGGTAGGGGGGATCCAATTAAAAATAATTATGATCTACTTTCCTCAACGCCTTGTGCTTTTAATGACTAAACTGTTGAATTTCTAGAGTTTTCATAAAAATAGTTATGTGAGGGGTAATAAATATAAAAAAAACAACTATTTTTGCCAAGAAAAAACATATTTATAATAATTTCCATCATTTGTGAATAGTTTCTGAAAGTTTCATTAATATCTGACAATTTTTTTATTTTTGCAAAATTCTCCAAATTGATGTCAGCCATAGAAAAAGAAAATGTGCTATAAATTTATGTTATTTACTAGTTTCGGTGATACAAAGAGAAACAAGTTTTTTTAATCAAAATTTAGAATGTTCTAAATAAAAGAAAGACATTTTAAAAAAATAATTTAAAATGTACTTTTGTCTGTACTCTTAATAATAACATAAACATTTATACGATAAAATTTTGTCTTCGTCAAATTTAGTGTCTTTTTTATCATGCCATGCTTATTTTTTAGCGATCTCATTAGGTACCTTTATCTCTATCTATCTATCTATCTATCTATCTATATATGTATCTATATATATATGTATATATATATATATATATATATATATATATATATATATATATATATATATATATATATATATATAGCCCCGTGTTTATATGCACTGCGTTGATTATACCTTTTGTATTTTTGATTCTGTTAACGATTCCATTGACTTTTTACAGAATATATATATGTATATAGATAGATAGATAGATAGATAGATAGATAGATAGATAGATAGACATCCACATGAAAATACACCAACGCCAATATACATTTATATATCTATCAGTGTGTGTGGGGGGGGGTCAAATGCGTGGAATATAATATTAGTCGGTAGACTAATTATTTCTGATGCTAACTTAGACATACTAACTGGATTTTTTCCAAGAGAAAGAACACGTCAAGGGAGCAACTCTGGTACGGTCAGTTCTTCACCCCTCGGACCGTTAAGTCTGCCTGAAGTATTCAAGAGAAACATTTTTATAGATGTCTCCGATGGAAAATGAGAAGTACGGAGACCTCAATCGAGAGATGTCGCCATTGAGTCTGGGCCAGGACTTATTATCCGCTGTGATCTTTCATGATTGTTCGGGAGAACTGGCCTTTTGATCAATTCCCAAGAATGCACAGCATATAAGACTAGAAACCAAAAAAAGAAAAAAAGGTAAACCGCCAGTCAAGAATTGCCTGCTGATAATACATGTGTTAATCGGATTAATAAAATTATAGCGCTAATCTCGTATATGCTAACACTTTTTAGAAAAAACATACAAACCACGTGATTTATCACATTCGATCTCCCTTCCTCTCTCTCTCTCTCTCTCTCTCTCTCTCTCTCTATCTATCTATCTATCTATCTATCTATCTATCTATACACACACACACACACACACACAATTACACGTGTTTGTGTGTGTGGGTGAATTAATTTCGAAAATTCAACCGGAAAATCTGTCAAATTATTTTCTTGTATTTTCCAAGTATTTGAATATATTTTTAGTTATTGTTACAAAATTTGTGTGTAAAATGTCCAAAGTTTATATTTCTATTCCCTTTCGATCAACATCGAGAAATATATAGTTCATTATAGCAGACAAGTGATTGTTAAAAAATAATATGCAACAGTCTGTTCCATGCGTGATACATGCCTAAGCGATCATGTATCTTTCGATACATGTCTGATGAGGCAGATTTTTTTTCCTGCGGTATCTTGTCATTTCTTTCTGCAGTAGACCAGTTGACATCCAAGGCTACAGAACCTGGTTTGTCCTGCTACTTACCGATAGCCGGGGGAAGAAGAAGATGATTCATACCTTTTTCAAGGATGTTAGCACGTAAGTGAATGTAATGGATTCGACTGGAATTCGACACTCCGATTCCTCAATCTCAGCCGCTATCCATTACTAACACAGTACCTCCTAATCGTAAATACTCAAAATACGCGAAGGAATTTTTATCTAAAATCCTGAAACTCAGAATATAACAGGTGGGGTACCAGTTTGACTTTATAATATGATTCACGAATAATTACGTCGGACATACCACTAAATGCCTATCAAGAAGTTGTTGCATCTCTCTGAGCATAACTCATTTAGCATCAATTGAAATACAGTTGGAAACATAACAGACACCGTCCGTAACACTCGACTATATTTGTCTTAATCACACGTAAAAAAGAGCTAAACTTATGGTAGAATTAATAATAAAATAGTAAACGCTATCACTAAATAATATCAACTATGGACACGGCCAAAACCTACTGACCGTGTTTGTAAAGTAAAAAAAAAATCGTCATTATAGATGCATATATATATATATATATATATATATATATATATATATATTATATTATAAAAAAAAAAAAAAAAAAAAACAATTGACAATGGCTAATACTATAACGGAGAACGCTTGGATATATTGAAAACTTTTTTACACACATCGAGAAAAGATAACATTTATACGACCATAAGAAAAAAAAAACGCTTAATCTCATTACATTTTCAGTCGGCTTTAATGAAAGATAATCCTTTATAATGGATAATAGAATATCCGAAATAATTCGAATATATAGAATACTGATATGTATATAAGTATATATGAGATATTTATATATATTCATGCGTTTAGGAGTTTTCTTTTTTATATATTAGATAGTGTTACTTTTATTTTTATTTTATTTTATTTTATTTCATTTTTTTCAGCATTACGCCCCGAGCAAGGCGTGAAGCCACTAAGATGCAGGGGGTTGCAGAAGATTTGGAGCGAGAGCAGATAGGAGTGATAGAAGAAAGGATGAGGAGAAGAATAGTGGGTAGATAAAGGTAACTGGAGGTGTCGATTGACATTACATTTGAATATTTGGAGATTATAGCTTTCAGGGAAACAGTAATTGGGAAGGGTGGAACCACAGGCGAGAATGTGCGAGGTATGAAATAGCCATATTGTTTCAACACTTCTGGTCTCTTATCAAGTGATGGTGTTGAATGTAGAATAAAGGGTTTTAAAAGGTTCAAAACAATCAAACATCCCTCGCTAGGAGAAACGCTGTTACACAAGCTGGAATAACCAATCAAAATACAAGCATATGAGAATTCAAAAAACTTATTTAATGCTTTAATGTTAGGGTTAGATTAAAATAGAATTCATTCTAACTAATAAATATTAACTTATACTATAAAATTAAAAAATACCAATTTTAAATTTAATTTATATTAAGTTTAAAATTATAAAATTCTTTTAAATAGAAACTGTGGAAAAATACATGTTTTGTTATTTATTCTGTTTTTATAGGAATTAAGTTGATATAAACGTTAAGATCTAATGCGATTTGGAACGAGGCTGCACAAAATCAATGCCATTTATCTATTTTTTATTGTATATTTTATTTGAATTTATTTTAATATAATACTAATAGAATACGTGCGATCATTATTTATATCATATACAATTCAAGATACATTCTCATGTGGTGAATGATAATTTATTTCATGTGGGCTGTTTCTTTTGTATAATAATAGATTCTAAGGTTTTAAGTTTTTCAACGCATTGGGTGCTATAGAGTATTTTTTGAGTTATCTAGTAGTATTTTTCTCATGTTGTACTTTGCTCATTCATTATGTGCTGATTTTAGACAGATGACAGATCAATCAGTGAAAGAATGTGATGTATGTGGTCCCAGTGAAAGTATCTAATGTTTTTTTTTTTTGGTTATTAGTGTTAGAGAGGTAATTTGCTAGAATGCATAGACATTTTTATTATACTGGATTTTGTGTGAATCATTTTAGATATGCTAATCTTTATGAATCTCGATTTTTCGATAATGTCGCCTTTTCATCACTAAGTACTAGAAAGCTAAAAACATGCGAGGCGTTGCTGAAAATTTTTAACACGTTCGAAATTTGACGAAGTATAAGAAATCAGATTTTTATTTTAGAAACATTTTTCATAATTTCTGAGAACCTCCAGTCTCTCCACACACCCCTATAAAATTGCAGTAGGAAATTAAACGTCGTAAAATAAATTAGACGTAAATATCGGTTTCGTCGTTAGGTGAAATTAGAAATGTTTTTTCTTATCCTTTCCTTTTTTAACCAAGAAATGTTTACCATACCCTCATATATTCATCAATATTAGATACTACATGCTTGACCCTCATTAGTGACCTTGCGTCAGAATTAGGCTAAAATTAGAAAGTTTGTGCAATCTATCATATGATAAAGTTAGTCATAAAGAACTATGTCATTGCACGTGGGATCACCGTTTTTTTTTCTTTGTCTTCTATAAGTTGAAAATGTTTGCGAAGAAAGTCGACAAGTAAAAGAGCATATGTACCTTGAAACGTGCTGTATTTGATAATAAGAATGTACAATTGTTTGTCAGCCAATATGAGAAGTTGTTGATTACCTTTGATTTGATTTTCCATTTTGTTAACTGTCATGGCAGTGGGTAAAAACAGGAAAATAAATCACATTCAAAATGCGACAATCAAATTTGTAATCGGGTTTTAATATCCGGTATTCTACAGAGAGCGCCTGTGTTTACTGGAACAGTTAAATATGGCGTTCGTTCATGACATCAGTTGACTACGTATCATGTTGAAATATCTTGACTGGCATAGCTACGCACTTAAAACGATAAAAATTGCAAAATGCTATGAATATACAGAACTCAGACCAACTTCAATGCTCTGATCTCATGAAGCAATTTATATCCTATAAAGCATATCGAAGCATAAAAATATGATTTAAAAGCAATTATTCTCCGTCAGGCTACACTAGTGTTTAGGAGAATTTCGCTTGCAGATTCCTGCATTTTACGAAGATGTAAACGGATTTTATATAGTTAAAATGGATTATCTTCAGTTTAGTAATGTAAGACAGAAGCAATAGTATAATTTATCTCCCCTATTTGTTGTTTATTGCAAATTATACTAATGATTAATAAACTGTGAAAATTTATAAAAATATAAATATTTTTAACCATTATTTCAGTGGATAACCATATTTGAGTCGACATTCCCTTTATTTTTCAAAGAGTATTTTTATTTATTTTCGTCTACCGGCTACCGGCCTGAATATTGGATAAATCTTATTAAAGAAAGCTAAGCATCGTCTGACATCATTCGAACCTGTTTCCACGTTAGTAGAAGAAAGCCGAACATAATAGCGGTTTAAAATCGCAAATTCCAGAGGGCGCATCTTTCACAAATATTCGGTTTTGCTTGATCGGCGACATCTTTAGGTTTGTCAATTTTAACAAAAAGTCGTTAGGCAACTTTAAGTTTCTAGAGCCAATATACATACATACATACATATATATATATATATATATATATATATATATATATATATATATATATATATATATATATATATATATATATATATATAGGTAAAAAAAGTTTTGTTATATAATCCAAATGGATCCTAATAATATCAATTTTAAAACTGATCAACAAAAAGAGCTCAATGTATTTATTATAACAGGACACATAACTTACACAACAAAATCCAAAATTACCTCATATGGGAATAGATTTATTTCAGCCAATGCAAATACGTCTGTCTCATTCAGGCATAGTGTACGGACTGTCTGTACACGGGGGTTGAATAAGACTGACGTACTCCCCGTTAGGTGAAATAGATGTTTTCCCATATAAGGTAATTTTGTATTTTGTTGTGTAACACACACACACACACACACACACACACACACACACACACACACACACACCATCCTCACTGACACCACGATTCCGTGCATCATGCACAAGGCAATCCTCAGGTGCTGGATACGAACTAAACGTCACCCAGTTTGAATTATAATACATATGGTTATCCCAATGTTTGCGCAGTTATATATCATGTTGGGATTACAGAGTTTTAATCTTAAAATTATATTTGGCAATTAAAATAAGCGGGATTTATATATGTATGTAAAAAAAAAAAATTAAAAATTATATTTTTAATAGTGAATATTTAAAAAAAAAAATTAAATCTTTTTTTTTAAACATTTACATTAAAGGGAGATAATTTGTCCTTATTAAAAACATAAATTTATATTCAAAATAAAATATAGTCATTTACATTAAAATTTAAAAAAAATCATCTAGATCAACGTACTTAAGCATATATCTATTTTCAAGACCACGTGTGACCATCAATCCATCCCTCTTGTGTAACAAACCAGTATTATTCAAGTGCTTTCAAGTAAAAATAAATTCAATTTATTTCCTTTACCGTTATAAGCCTTAACTCTAGATATAATTTCCCAGTTCATTGATGGCGAGATCACCCTATTCTTTAATTGCTACAAATGCCTGGAGAGAGCAGGACATTAATTTATTTCTAAGAACATTTTCAAATCCCTCAATGTTTTGCTATCCGACTGAATATCCACTTTTGCTATTTCTATGCTCGTTCTGATGTCCATGTAACGCTTTCCATCATCTCCATCTTCTAAACTCAATTTTATTAACGCACATCAAGTTCATTCCGATACGTAACTCCCAACTAATGCTGACAGTTAGGAAATATTTTCTTATTGTTAAAGGCTGGATATTGTTTTATTTTATTTTTACTGTTCTTGTCTTTTTACATTATTTACATTGTTCGAACTTTTATCCTTATCTTTGTTGTCATATTCACGAAGTTTGGGACGTTGTACGCTCTGACCTACTTCTGCTGATTGGAATTTCGAAACGAACCCTTTGTTTCGTACACAGTGGTAGATTGTTCTGGTTCCACGTGTCATGCCTCTTCGGGATATTTCACTTTCAGTTTCCCTTTAGTAACTCAAATCTCCAAGCGTTGTTTACCTCTGCTCTGGCTAGGTATTGTAATCACAACTCTTTGCTTCAAGTCAATAGGTTACCAACGCTTTTATCCACTGGATCACATTTCCTTGAAGAAGGCTGGAGTGCACAAGGGCCGAAATATCGTGAGTATGACAAAAAAGATGAGGACATAAAGTCCTAAAAATATAAATAATGTAAATAGCTCCAATACCTCATCTAGGAAATATAGAAAGATGTAATTGTCTAGTTTATCAGTCCTCGAATTTTATTCCATCTATGAAGAATATTTTGTTATGTCCCGGAAAATGGATATATTTGATCGAAGTAGCTAAGTGTGTTTGGCTACTGTAACCAAGTAGTACACGGTAATCGACCGGTGCTCGTCGTAGTCGCAGATAATAGGTGTAGACCAATAGGTTAGCCAATGGCGTAGTCTAATGGGCGCCGTACAAGATTTAAAATCTGTCGTACCTACTCGACCGTCTGTATTTATGACGGACACCAGCCAATCATATTCCACTGAGAGGGAACTCAGGAGCATGCATATTCCATTATATCATTTGTTATGGTTAAACCTAAATATTTCTTATGATGCATTTTCGCATCGTTTCCTTTTGTTTTATATGTATATATCTCTCGTGTGTTTGTATTTTGGATTATTTTAAGAGGATTCTTCTAACGACTTTGTTCTTTTATTAAATCCGCCATGTAGGTATAATTTTGTGGAGGTTATCTGAAAGTAAATGATGTATGGTGATTTTCTCATGCTGAAAATTCTTCTCGACTATTTTCGTTGGAATGGTTAATAATTTTTTTCTAAAGATGGTAAAGCAAAGAATGAATCTCACAAAAGATCCTGATCGCCTGACGTGTATATTTTTATCTTTTATTATACGTTTTTGATTTTATTCTTTTTTGCATAGTTACTTCTTTTTCTATTATACTTATTCTCTTGGAGTCTTTTATTCTTTTTTGTGTCGTTTTTATCTTTCTCTGCATTTTTTATTTCATTTCTTTTTTATACATTTTTTTTATTTCCTCTTTTATCAACTCTCTTCATTTTGTTTTACCGTCCTGGAATTTTTTTAAAGAATTTTATCTTGTAAGTTGTTAATAATCTTTTTTGTTCCTTTCGTGCTTCAGATTTCAAGCGATTTCTATTGGTTCAAGTAATCGAAAGCAAAAAAAAAAAATGGAATAAAATAAACAGCAAGAATATGAAAAAAACTATAGATCCTGACGATTGAAATTAATTTCCATCCATTTCAGTAATTGGAACCAAGAACAAATTACTTTTGTCCACGTCGAATATTGCAGTGTCGCAAATGAGATTAACTTGTTTAAGCGCTAAGTGAGTTCTTTTTTTAATTTATTTTTTCCTGTCTATTTAATTTGCTTTTAAAGAAAATAGATTCCGTTCAGCACCATCAATTTTTCTTTTTCCCTTTTACGCTGAGGTAATGGCCATCATTCCCATGTGCACACAAAAATTATTATTAATAATATTTGTAGTAATAATATCGAGTGAACATGGACTTGGCCGTTTCCCATGACCTATAAGATGGTCTTTGTGTTATAGCAAGCAATTCTTTTTATCACATCTCAGACTAATGGCAGATACTTAGATGCACCCGTCTATTCTGCAGGTAAAATGCGACAGGATATACCTGTTTAGATGGTATCAGCAGCAAGAAAGATTACAACATTTTAAAGGGTTATATATTACAATATTTTATCTAAAATCAGAAAACGCTTCCTTTGTTGGTATTTTCTACTCATATTTTAACATTCTCCATTTTCTTCTTTAATAAAAAATGCTTTCCGAAGATATCGTACATGAAGTTGTTCTAGTAGTCTAGCGGCTAACAGCCCAGATATTAGGATGGGCGAACCGTGGTCAAATTTGGTCCTAAGTCATTACGTTCTATTTTACACAGATATATTTAAATCTGGGAAATATATGAATCCAGCTACTCTCCCCACCGATCCATCTACTATACTCTGCCCACCGAATCCATCTACTCTCCCACCGATCCATCTACTATACTCTCCCCACCGAATCCATTTACTCAACTCTCCCCACCGAATCCATCTACTCTCCCACCAATCCATCTCTCCCCACCGAATCCATTTACTCATCTCTCCCCACCGAATCCATTTACTCAACTCTCCTCACCGAATCCATCTACTCTCCCCACCGTATCCGTCTACTCTCCCCACCGAATCCGTCTACTCTCCCCACCGAATCCATCTACTCTCCCCACCGAATCCATCTACTCTCCCCACCGAATCCATCTACTCTCCCACCGATCCATCTACTCTCCCCACCGAATCCATCTATTCTCCCCACCGTATCCGTCTATTCTCCCCACCGAATCCCCCTACTCTCCCCACCGTATCCGTCTACTCTCCCCGCCGAATCCATCTACTCTCCCCACGGAATCCATCTACTCTCCCACTGATCCATCTACTCTCCCCATCGAATCCATCTACTCTCCCCACCGTATCCGTCTACTCTCCCCACCGAATCCATCTACTCTCGCCGCCGTTTTGTGGATTAATAAATTGAAAGACTGGACTCTCTGTATGTGTTTGTTAAACATACTAAGCGAATGAAAATACTGAATTCAAAATGATTTAGTGGTGGTGCTACGAACACCGTACTCTAAGACACTACTAGCTATAGAAACGATACTAGTACCACATAGGGTGTAATATGGTTCTAGCCCTGTACATTAAAATGAGTAAACTAATAGGAGAAAGAAACAGAGTTTTATCCATGAGGCAGGGTGTTATCATTCCGATACCCGTTCATTTCGGTAACTGGCCCTCCCAATAGCGATGGAACGACTGTTAGATTGTAGAAATATATGAAGATTCTTGGACAACAAGCTAAGACTTGGGGAATGACACGGGATAAAAAAGATTAGATAAGAGGTGTTGGTCGTAGCCAAACTTAGTAAAGGACGCATACATACAACCCACCAACACCTTCTCAAAAACGAAGACCCAGCTGTGTATATACCATGTCAGGAATAATACAGGTTTATGCCTGCATTGATAATCTGTAGATATTCAAGTTTTAAAATACAGATAACCTAACCGAACTATACGAAGACATCGGACCTAGTGAAATTCTGTATATTGAAAAGGAGATTGACCTCTATAATAGAATATAACTTTACAGTCTATTTGCCTAAAGTTTATACTTAGGAAAGCCTTTCAATCTATTTTAATAGACAACGTTTATTAGAATGTATCGTTTCGCAAATTTTATCTGGAAAGATAAAAAAATAAATTAGCCCCCAAATTTTTCGACTTTAAATAAAGCACAACAGATGTATGCGTAAAACAAATCAGTTAATATGATAGCTGTATAAAATTTTATGTAGGAACAAAGAGGTTTGTCGAAACCATCAAATCATCTACTTGTACCTTTAAAGCATCGGACGGCCAAACATTCGCCATAGAAGATTATTTATTGTTGGAGTGAACATTTCTATTTTCTGAAAGACCACTCTCAATCCTCAAAAGACTTCTCGAGAAACACTCCTCAACGATCTGGCAAATGTTGAACGACAATCCCTCCATCATTTCAGGAATTCATGAAAGCCATCTAACGAATGAAACCTGGAAGAACTCCCGGTTCTGACAACATCCCGCTGGAGCTCTTCGCACATGGGAGATTTACGTTTGAGTACGAAGCTGTTCGACCTGTTCCTTCGAATATGGGAACACCAAGACCGTCCTCGATGACTTCAAAAGCGCGACCATCATTAGCATCTTAAAGAAAGGAGAGCGCTAAGTGTGAAATATTTACCGTAGCATCTCCCTGGAAAGTCTGCTGGATGCTGCGGGAATAAATTCCTCCCAGAATCTCATTGCCTCATTCGGCATATATATATGCAATAAATTAGACGATTTGCGCAAGAGAACTTCAATAAAAGAAACATTGAAATCAATAGCAACCACTCTTCTTCATCTTTTGGGACCTTCGAAAATCGTTCGACAAGGCTTTCCGACCATTGATGTTGTCTGAACTCCGTCGCATTAGTTGTGCCGATCACTTCGTCAACAACATCATCACACTTCATGATGGCATGGTAGGACGCATCTGCACGCGGAATCCAGTCAAACGTTTCCCATCCCCAGAGGTCTCAAACAAGGCTGTTCCCTGACGCCAACCCTGTTCTCCATCTATCTGCTCAATGAGATCCCACGCGACTCTCCTGATGTTGACACTCGCTATCGCCTAGTCGGCGGCCTCTTCAACCTCGCACACCCGAGATCCAAAACTCGAATATCTAAAAGCAGCATCAAGGATCTCCAGTAGGCAGACGGCAATGTCATCCGTTCCATTTATTTTGCTGATCACCAGAGTTGTTCGAGTCTCGTCTCCGAAGCCTACTATCGGGTTGTTATGGACGGAAATGCGAAGAAAACGGTGATAGTTGCGCACGACGCAATTAATATTAGTATAGGGGACTTGCTTTCAGAAGTTGTCAAGGACTTCCTCTAAGTCGGCAGCACCCTCTCATATTTCCGAACATGCGGAAGAGTCATTGACCACTGCACCAAATCCTCTGATTGGATATTCGGAAGACTCAGCAAACACTCTCTATCCGAATAAAACTCATGCTGCTCCGCTCCATTGTCATCACCTGCTTGCGCCACGCTTGTGAGATCTGGACTTTGTATCGAAAGGACAATAAAATCTTAAAGGATTACAACAAGCCAAGCTACAGAAAACCTCGACTTCCAATGGATGGACTTACTCAACAAAAACAATCATTGAAGCCGCCATCCTCAAGCTTCGATTCAGGTGCTCAGGACATGTCAATGGAATAACTTCTTCAAGAAGGTTGGATATCTAGAAAATATCGGAAATTCGCACATCGAAGTCTTAGGGTACAAAACGAAGGAACAGAATCACCGGATGTGGGAGATATTGTAAATTAAAGGAAACTAGCATTTTTCAATGCTTTCAAAAACAGACACTTCAACAATATATAAAATCTTCATAGAAATGGGGGGAAACATTTATCCCAAGGAAATTCCGGAAAAATTACACCACGAGACAGGGAAAAACAAAAAAAATCATACACTGAACCTAGAAAAATTGCAGGTTTTTATTGAAATACACGAAGACAAAACAAAACACTTTATGAAAAAATACACCGATATTGACAACGAATTATTGAGAGAAATCAGGGAATTATGTCCCTGAGAAACTCACGAATTTCTTTCATGGAAGTCAAAATGCATAAAAAGCAGGAAAAATCTCGGAATATTTTGGAAAGAAAAACAACATGGCTATAAATTATACCAAATAAGCAAAAATCGGATAATGAGATACAACCAAGAAATACGAACCAAACTCACAATAAAACACAATACTCGACACAGAACAACTACATGCGACACCACCAAATAGAGAGAAAACGACACAACAGACGAAAGAAGCCTAATATCAGGTTGGTGAAAAAGTAATGTGCGATTTCAAGGTATTAGGTTGGTGCAAAAATAATGTCGTTTTCTCACATATGTTAATTTTATATATGATTTCTGAATTAATTCATTGATATATATAGCAATGTTATATATCATTTTGAAACGCGTTTTTCGCTCTATCGAATCGTGTTATTCGTTACCGTTCTCAATCTCTTCATTCATTTTTTTGCAGGCTTTTCGACAGCATGGACAAAATTCAAATCCGCACGATTTTCTTGTTCCATTTCAAACTAGGCCGAAAAGCTGCCGAGACAGCTCGTGATATCAATGATGCGTTTGGCCCAAGAACCACTAATGAACGTGTGGCACAACGGTGGTTCAAGAAATTTCGCAATGATGACGAGAGCCTCGAAGATGAAGACGGTCGCGGCCGGCCGACTGCGGTTGATAACGAACATTTGAAAGCCTTAATTGAAGCCGATCCTCGCAAAACCACACGAGAAGTTGCTGTTGAACTCGAGGTCGAAAACTCAACAGTCGTTCGCTGTCTAAAGCAAATAGGGAAGTCAAAAAAGTCGTATAAATTGGTGCCGCATGAATTGAACGATAATCAAAATAATCGTCGTTTTGAGGTGTCTTCTACGCTCCTTCTGCGCAACAAAAACGGCCCATTTCTCGAGCGGATTGTGACGTGTGATGAGAAGTGGATCCTCTACGACAACCGGCGACGTTCGGCACAGTGGTTGGATGCCGGAGAAGCTCCACAACACTTCCCGAAGCCGAAATTGCACCAAAAAAAGGTTATGGTGACTGTTTGGTTGTCTGCGGCCTGTCTCATCCATCACAGCTTCTTGAATCCGGGCGAAACGATTACGGCGGAGACGTACTGCCGATAAATTGACGAAATGCACCAGAAGCTCCAACGTATGCGCCAGTGATTGGTCAATATGAAGGGACCAATTCTCCTCCATGACAACGCTCGCCCGCATGTTGCTCAACTGACCCTGCAGAAGCTGAACGAATTTGGCTAAGAGACTCTGCCTCATACGCCATATTCACCGGATCTCTCGCCCACCGATTATCACTTTTTCAAGCATCTCGACAACTTCCTGCGCGAAAAATGCTTCAAAAGCCGAGATGATGGCAAATCGGCCTTCAATGACTTCATCGCTTCCAGAACTCCGGATTTCTATGCTAATGGGATAAATAAACTTGTTTCTCGTTGGCAAAAATGTGTCGATTCTAATGGTTCTTATTTCGATTAATAAAGTTTATTATGATATGAGCTATGATCTTTTGAAGTTGAACGTTAAAAAACGACATTATTTTTGCACCAACCTAATATATATTAAAAATGAAAAAATCCATGATTATGAAAATACTTATTCTTTAACATAACATCTTTTGCTTTCTAGAACATGATTCCATCTGTCAACGAAGCTTATAAATGCCACGACTCTGACATCCCTTATGTTTTGAAGCAAAATATGAATCCATCTCATGTTCAGTCTCTTCTATTGATGTCAACTTAAGATTAAATGAATCTGTAGTCTCCGAAACAACCGATAATCAAGAGGAGCAATGTCAGAATATGGATGAAACAATATTTCTCAACCAATATCTTTCAAAAGATTTTAGTCAGCGGGGCTGTGTGAGGACGGATATTATGATGTTATATGATGGAACTATTTCTGTTCAATAAGGAACTTCGCTTTTGGTGCAAAGCTATTTTCAAACGACGAAGTTGATCACAGTACAGATTTTCTATAATTGTTTGATTGCTGTTTAAGACTTAATAATGGACAATTCATTCAATATTCCAACATACACTCAAAATGATCAACTTTGGCTGAAGTCCTCCTCTTGGTTGTCGAACTGATCTTCCTCCTCGACTGATCCACGATCGACGGCGTTTAACGTTATGGTAAAGGATCCACATCTCATCATCTGAAACAAGACTACCTAAAATATGTACCTAAAGGTGTATTGAAAGCAATGATTCACAACAAACAACACGCTGTTGCAGATTCTATGGAGACCGTTTCTTTGGGAACGGAAACCTTTCCGATCCTTTTTAATTGGCGTAGCATGATTGTATGGTCTACTTTAGATTGTTCCGCAATTTCCTTAGAGATAATGGTTGAATTTTCTGTGACAAACGCTACCAACTCTTTGGAATTAAGTTTGTTTGGGACGACTCTCTTTTGCTAGGCCTTCATATGGAAATCCTCATTTTAGAAACGGGAAAATCACCTCCTGTAACTTCTTTCATTCACTGCATCATCTCCATAAGGGTTCTGAATAGACTTTGCTGCTGTACTTGCATTGACGCCTTTATGAAACTCATAGTGTAAGATATGTGGAGTGTGATGTTTAGACTGGACGAAAATGGATGCGAATATTGTGGAAGATCATGAAAAATATTTTTATAATCTGAACGAGAAAGGTATAAATTATTTGTCACATTCCTTAACTATAAATAGAATCACAAGTTTCATAAATAATATCTAGAACTTTCTTCTCCAAAATTGGGCATTACTTTTGCACCAACCTGATTTATACTACCTCACCGAAAGACACCCCCACAACAAGTGCAGTTACCAAAATACGCTTAACAAGACACAAACATTTACGACATACAATTATACCATAACACAACCAGACATAGGACAAAAATCATACAGGTTGACAAAACCAATACTAACAGATACCACCTAACACAAAAATCGAACCTAACAACCACTACCCATATCAAGAAATACAATTAAAATTCCCCATAAGCCTCTGCTTAACTTCATACAGAATCAACAAATATATAAACATCTGAAAAACCACTTATAACAAAAAGAAACACACTTATATAGAATCATCTAAAGAAAACACCCCGAATTTACACCATGAGAAATGTTCACTGTTTAGAAAACCTAAAACGTTTACGGAGTGGTTATCTCATAGGACAACAGGTATGTGGAGAAAGAAAAAAATCATCATTTTTTAGAAAGCCTAATCTGCAGAAGACGACCAGTTTAGATAACACAAATCGAAAAATAATAAACCTATACACATATGCACTTACAATGGACGAAATTAACTTATTAAATTTAGGCTTAAAATTCTGCCCTGACTCGAAAAAACAATATAAGAGACCTACAAAAGATCTTAGAGAATTTTAACGGAAGATTCAGACTAACAGAAACATTTAATAATAACGAAGACATTATAGATGACTCATTAGTAAAAAATAAATAGAAATTCTCCCCCCCCCAAAAAAAAAGAAAACTTACAAATGAAAGAAACATGTGTTTTGAAAAACCCTGGAAAAAGCTAAATCATTTAATAATCTCACAAACAGACAATGCGGACTCTTAGCGAGCATTCAAAAAAATAACAACAATTATAAAAGAAGTAGACAAAGGAAGCCCTATAATCATCATGGACAATATATACTATAAACAAAGACTCGAATCGTAAAAGGAAGTAAGAAAACCAAGATAGACAAAAATATTATATCAAAACTTACAAAACTCTTCACAACACATAATTAGATATTAACAAAAAAGAAAATTACTTCCTAATAAACTTCATCCCAAAAACGAGCAATTTTTGCCGACTACTGAAAATTCACAAATCGAGTGAAATAAAAGCAGCTATTAAGACAGAGTATATCTGAATGTATTAACATCCGAAACCGAAGTGAACTTACATTTAGACTCATAGTAGCAGAACCAATCTGTCCAACTAGAAGACTCTGTCACCTAATAGACACCATACTACGATTATTTGCTAAACAGATTAAGAGTTACATCAGAGACGCTTTCCACTTCCTTCGCTCTATGCACAAAATGTAGACCCGGGAAAACTCATTTGACATTACTAGCCTATATAGCAACATATCCCATGAATTACGTAAACTGGTAATCTCATTCTGCATTGAATAACACCCAGAAATACTCAATCACAGGAAGTCATTATCGATAATATAAACCTAATTCCGAACAAAAAACACTTTTGAATTTGACAACAACAACTATATCCAAACCCTAAGTACCACGATGGGAACGAATATGACACCAACATATGCCACCCGAACATTAGCATAATAGTATCTGTCTATATTTCTGAGATGAGGTTTTATGTACACTATATTATTCGGACTATTGTCATCTTTGTCGCCATATTTATTACAAAGTTTTGGCTGTTGTACGCTCCGGCCTTCTTCAGGTGGTTGGGA